AATCTGCTTTTGCCCAAACCTTGAATATGCAGCTCAAATAGCAGGCTTTCATTTAATATCTATATTTCAGACTGTAAAAATGAATTATTTAAAGAATAATCATACAATTTAGATAAAACAAAAATTTGCTATTTGGGTGCTATGTTCATGCAAGAATACAGATATGCTCTATTTGATTTTCATAGAATGTGCATTGCTGCATGCTAAATCTCTATTGGAGATGTGACAGGAGGGCTTTCTCTGCTTACTTTGATTTAAATTTTAAACACACTTCCCTCTATAGAACAGTATTATGTACAATTTCATCACACGTAGGTCTTCAGCAACACTAGTAGCTCTATCTCAATGCCTGGATGAGAGAAAAAATGGATAATGTCCCAAACATGTGTAGCAAAAGAGAGCACCAGTTTCTAAGAGTCTTAGGGCAGATATGAAGCTTCCTTTCCTGAACTATCATCCTCCTTTGTTCCTTTCCTGTAGCAAAATGACAAAATAGGCAAGACTAACTATTGACATGTGGCAAGGAGACACATTAAGTATGTTAGCGTCCCTATTGTATGATGAGCCACTGGTAAGTAACACTTCATGGTCCCTAAAATGTGCAAAGCCTTTAGTTGAACATTAATATTTGATAGTATTAATCTTATTGGGTTTTTATTTCAGTTTCATACTATTATTTATGAAAAATAAAAATAAATCTGTAACTGTAAAAATAAGCACAGACTAATCAAACTGTTTTTTTTAGACTGAATGTTCCTAAGAGTGCATTAATTCCACTAACTAAAGAAGATCAGAGTAAACTAACTGCTTTACAGGCAAGACCATATATTGCTCATGAGTCAGCCTGGAAAAAAGAAGTATGTATAGATCATAATAAATTCTGTATTTTGTATTATAAGCAGTTTTAGCAGATTCATTTATATTCTGTTGGTAGAGTTCTACTATATGATGTAACTACATGTCCCCTCTTTAACTTGAGAATGACTAATTAAATAACTCCACATGAGCCTTCTTCAGAACTTTAGCCCATGCTAAGGGATTGGTTGCTCTGAGCCAAATTTTAACTATTGCTTTTTTCACGTTTCCTGGCAAAAGCCTTGATCTTAGATGATATGTTGCATTTGACAGCGATGAACTGATTATACAATAATTTCCCTATCGTCTATTGGCTACTTGACTGGGGCATGTATGTTGTTCCAGTCCACTCTCCTCTGCACAGCATGTCAGTAGCCATGTTGGCAGGTTATATTCCCTTGTGATATGTTCTATGCAGGGATCCCACAAATCCTTTCTATAGTGTGTCAACATCTACGTCAGCCGGTCATATGTGATGGCAGCCCTTGGTTTTAGTGGGAAAAGTCTTCTTGATACACACAGAGCTGCAGCCTAATGTGAAATGTTAGCGTAGCTACAGCAGTAGACTATCTGGTTGAGATCTCTTGTAAAGTGTGCTGATAAATTGTGGGAGTCTGGCAGAAAATCCATGCTGACATGTTTGTGTTGCCTCATGGACCTAAAGGATAATAAAGCTGGTTTTGTAGAATTCTACTTGTCTCTATTAATATTAGAAAAGAATTTAAAAGAACTCCAGAAGTCAGGTGATCCTCTCTGCTGTTCAACATAAACATTAACTTGCCGGTCTAAATAATTTTTAAAAACTTAATTTTGATATTTGAATCAAGAAATAGTTTAAAAACAGATCTGCATAATATAGCTTTGAACTGGATAAAATGTCTTCTTGACCAGCAGCAGGTCTAAACATGCCTTCCTATGTAAAGGCAAAACAAGGTGGGCTTCCAGAGGACTTTACAGATTCTAGTCTAGAAGAGGACATCAGGTTTTCTAGTGCTGTAACACAGTTGAAGCTTAAATGCCTACCTAAAAAGGCAAAGAATATTGGCATTCGTAGCTGCCTACGTGCTAAAGGAAATGTCTGAGATGTATAGGCTTGACTTGTCCTGACAATGTGCTGGATTTAAAAGATGCAAATGAGGACAGAGAGACAACACGCAATTCATCTGGCACAATATTGTAGCAAAATAACCTCTGTAGCAAATAACCTCTGCTGGTCTGTATTTTTCTATTTCTATTTTTTATTTTTACATTTTATATTTATAATGTGGAATACATGGCATAAAATGCTTATCTTTTGAATTATACGCACCTATATCAATGTTGATTGAAATGTTAATTTCTAATGCTTTTCTTTTACAGTTAGATATTATGGAAACATTTAAAATGAAAGCTGAAATTCAGGCTCTGATTTCATTTTCAACAGATTATCTTTCCAGGATATATTTGCCAAACAAGCTGCAATTCGGTGGATGGATATAAATATCAGGACACCTTTTAAAGATTTTTAATGTATGTTGACAGAATATAAATATTAAAAAAGTAAAAAGACATAGAACATATAAGAAAACAAGAGAGAAGGTATAGATAGTTATTCCTAATCGACTACAATTTATTTCAGAGGTGTTAAGGCAGGCCATACAAAATTTTCAGTTATGTAAAATACTCTGTGAATTAATATTTCTCTTTAATTTTCCTTTTTGATAGGAAGAATGATTTCTGATCTATTCTAATATTAGTTTTCATATTTTATAATTGCATATTTCAAAGAAAAAATACAGATGACAAAAGGATGATAATATTGTTTCACAAATGCTTTATCACAGTTTACTAATTAATTAAAAGGACTTGTTCATAATGTGTTTTTAAAAATATATAAAAATTATAATTAATCAAGTAAGAAAGTCTTTATCATTATTTACACTACATTTTAAATAAGCCAAAGAATCAGGTTTTTTTTATAGTTTACAACTTAATGAAATCAAATACAAATGGAAAAATTGTTAAGGATTCCCCCTAGTTTAAATGTTGTGACTACAGCCTTCTTCCAAAAGGCAAGGAACAGTTATATTCAAGTAGTCCTCTACTTACACCCTGCATTTCTGTTGATAAGTGAGACATTTGTTAAATGAATTTTTCCCAATTTTACAACTTATCTTGCCACAGTTGTTAAGTGAATCACCGCAGTTGATAAATTGGTAAGTGAATTTGGCTTCCCTATTTTGCTTGTTAAAAGGTTGAAAAAGGTGATCACATGATCTTGGGAAATAGCAATGGTTGTAAGTATGAAACAGTTGCTAAGCATCTGAATTTTGATCACATGATCAAGGGGATGCTACAAAGGTTTTAAATGTAAAAAATGGTCATGTCACTTTTTTCTGTGCCTATGTAACTTCGAAAGGTCATTAAATGAACTGTTGTAAGTCGAGGACTACCTCTATGTGAGTAATATGTCTTTTGACGATACTGAAGAAAACCATTGGATCAAAAATAATATTGGATCCAAGTAAGAAACAGCATTCAGTATATATCCTGTCCTCAATACTCACTAATGCAGCTCATAAATAATTTTCTATTGGAGAAAAACACAGGTGAAAGATCCATTAACACACTTCAGATGCAATCCTCTATGGAGATTCTCAGTCATCCAAGTCATGATTGTCCCCAAAGTGCTTTTTCAAAAGGCAACTGGACTTTCTGGTTTTTCTTTTGAAGACGTTTCGCTTCTCATCCAAGAAGCTTCTTCTGCTCTGACTGAAGAAACCTCTAAGTGGCCTCAACAACTCTGTAAAAAGAATGCAAATAACCAGCTGTGTGCAAGGAGTATAAATCCTTCCACTCCTCACCATCCGGCCAGAGCTAAAGAAACTTCTTGGAGAAATGAAACGTCTTCAAAGAAAAAAATCCAGAAAGTCCAGTTGCCTCTTGAAAAAAAGCACCTTTGGGATTTAAATGGAATCATTAGCATCCCATCAGTCTTTAAGCAGCCCCCTTAGTAAAATCCACAGCAAGAGCCATGGTAGCACAGTGGTTAGAATGCAGTTCTGCAGGCTACTTCTGCTGACTGCCGGCTGCCAGCAGTTTGAGTCTCACTGACTCAAGTGTCTATGGCGATTCTCAGTCATCCTGGTCATGGTTATCCCAAAGGCGCTTTTTCAAGAGGCAACTGGACTTTCTGGTTTTTCTTTGAAGACGTTTCGCTCAGTGGTAAAATGTAACATTTGTTACTACCCGTTCTGTGGGTGTGGCTTAGTTGGGGGGGTGTAATGTGACTGGGTGGGCATGGCCAACTTTTTTTTTTAACTTTTAAAAGCATTTTTTCTACAACCTCCGCCGCCAAAGAGGTTGCAGAAAAAAATGCTTTGAAAAGCCTCTGACGGTCCCAGCTGAGCCCTGCGATCATCAGAGGCTTTTTTTTTTTACTTTTAAAAGCATTTTTCCAGCCGAAGAGGTTATAGAAAAAATGCTTTTAAAAGTAAAAAAAACAGCCCCTGATGATCGCACGGCTCAGCTGGGCATGGGGGTGCGCAGGGATTTTTACTACAGGTTCTCCGAACCACCCACCACCATCGCTACTGAATTGGGCGATCCGGTCTGAACCCGGAGCATTTCACCCCGGTTTCGCTTCTCATCCAAGAAGGTCTTCAAAGAAAATCCAGAAAGTTCAGTTGCCTTTTGAAAAAGCATCTTTGGGACACCTACTCAAAGTTGCCTCGGCCTTCCATTCTTCCAAGGTCAGTAAAATGAGGGCTCAGATTGTTGTGGGCAAGGGTCTCCAACCTTGGCAACTGTAAGCCTGGCGGACTTCAAATCCCAGAATTCCCCAGCCAGCTTTGCTGGCTGGGGAATTCTGGGAGTTGAAGTCCGCCAAGCTTACAGTTGCCAAGGTTGGAGACCCCTGCCTTAGAGAGGGCTTTAAAGCACTGTGAAGCGGTATATAAGTCTAAGTGCTATTGCTATATAGTCAGGAGGCTGAGTGGGTGAGCATCTAGCACACCTCCGAGACCCCAAGTTCGAGCGGCTACTTTTACAGCACGCTCAGCAAGAACATCGCCCACCCAGCGAAAGGGACCGACGCCAACACGTCACGCCTCACCATTAACCCGCCAGTTCTATTGACGAATGAGAAACGGGCCTGGCTTGGCGCATGCGCAGTGAAGAAGGGCCTAGGCTTCGCGGACAATCCCAACCGTCCTGACCGGCGTGCTGGTTTGAGGGAAGCGGAGGATTGATAGGTGGGTGTAATATTTATTTCTCTGCTCCCGGCAGGCCCGAGTCGCGTGTCTGTCTCCTCGGATAAGGCTCCTCTCCGGAAAAGCGTCTCCGAAGTAGGCGAGGCGGCTTAAGGGCTCCCCCGTCCTACTTCGCTCTCCGGGTCCCTGTCCTTTTCTGAGGACCGTTGAGGCGGACGGGGCGCCGATAAAACTACCGGTAGAGGTAAATAGCTTCCTTTACTTCCCCAACTCTGTTCGGAAGAGAGCATCTGCCTGCCCTCTACCGCTTCCTAGTCGGTCGTGCTCTTCCCTTAACCGGCATCCCGTCCTCGGTGCGTTGGACCGCTCTCCCCATAATTCCCAGCCGGCTCGCTTGAGGTTATTGGACCTGCAGTCCCCACTCGTGGCGAGGAGAGAAGTCAGATACTGTGTGGCTCCTCGCTGTCCCTCAGTCAGGCAAGGGGGCTGGGTTTGGGGGCGACTATCGCTGAGGCTGAAGGGAGACTTTCTGAACTGAAATTGGCCCCCCAAGGGGACATTTTGGTTCCCATGGAAACCCAGAATCCGGCTGTCAAGAGTACTACTACTGAGTCCATACCGGAATGATCTGATGGCAACATCCACATCGGTTCTGAAAGACGAGCCCGTTGAATGCAATGGGACATGCTGCTACCTAAATCTATACCAGTTGTTTGTTTTCTTTTCCAAATTTGGCAACTTTTAAGATAATTATTCGGCCTGAGTGCTGGCTGGGAAATTCTGGGAGTCGAGGTCTTGTCATCTTAGAAGTTGCCAAGTTTTAAAAAATAAATGGATGGATCTGTCTCAAGACGAGAAACATATAAATACCCCTTCTCCTATTTCCCCACAACAACAACCTCATGAGGTGGGTTTGGTTGAGAGTGACTGATCAGAAGTCACCCAGTCTTTCATGCCTAAGGGATTCTCAGTCATTCATGGTTTTCCCAAAGGTGCTTTTTCAGGAGGCAACTGGACTTTCTGGTTTTTTTCCTTTTGAAGACATTTCGCTTCTCATCCAAGAAGTTTCTTCAGCTCTGACAGGATAGTAGTCCTTCCATTTCCCACTATCCTGTCAGAACTGAAGAAATTTATTGGATGATAAGCGAAACGTCTTCAAAAACAAAAAACAAGAAAGTTCAGTTGCCTCCTGAAAAAGCACCTTTGGGATATGCCTAAGAGATCCTTCCTTCCCTCCCTCCCTTCCTCCCTCTTTTATTGGCCACCCATCTTACCATAGGGTTACTCTGGGCGGATCACAATCATTAAAAATACATTAAAACATAAATAAATTAAAACCAAACATTAAAATCTAATGACACGTGGGGAGGACAGAGTGGAGGGAGTGGGATCTGTTCAAATTCACCGTCTCCCAGCACCCGAATCCCTGTACCAAAGTAGCTCTAACTAATTCACATCTAACAAATACCCTTACGATTCTGCCCACAGACATCTTCCATTCAGTGAAGTGTTATTTATTGGCTGTCCTAGAATGTAATGTAATGTATTTTAAGAAACATTAAAATTTATAAAGAAAGCTCCTCTCCATATTAAAAATAAAAAGATAATGTGGCCAGTATATACAGATTAAATAAACTTCAGTTGAAAGTATAAACCCAAGATTAAATATGTTGTAGAAGATACTGGAGTGCTTAAGCCCATGTAAATCTCACATAAAGCAATTTTGAAGTTAAAGCTTGATAAGGTTTCAGACTAAAGATTTGCCAAATACTGTAAATGATAATGTGCTGGAAAGGCCTTAAGCCTAGGACAGATATCACCTGTCTAGAGAGTAACTGTAGATGAAAAAAGAGGCATGAGTTGCCATTTATTTCTGTATAAACTGTTTTCAATTATAAAAGCAGCCTATATTAACAATAAGAGTTATTTATTTAATATGTTATATTGATTTTTGAACACCCTGTTGAGCCCAGTCCTTGGGCTCGCCACAGTTGGGGGGAACAGTGCAGGAGTAGCAAAGGCGAAGGCAGCAATACCTGGCAGAGGTGTGACCTACCAGCACATGTCCTGGAACGTGGGAGACGCCGAAGAGCCCATGCACTTCTTAGCTGAATACTGGCCTAGAAGGCCACTGGGAAAATAGCCTGACATACTCCTTAGTCATCTATGCCGGATGTTAGCTGCTGGGGGGGGGGGGGGATGCTGTAGGATAATTGGGTCAATTGATGGTTGGGTAATTGGATAATAAATAACTTCCAGAAATTCATTTGCATTCTTATAACAGGACCAAGATGAGTTTGTTTGGGTCAACATCAGGATTTGGAACTGGAGGCACCAGCATGTTTGGCAGCACTGCTACAGATAATCACAACCCAATGAAGGTATTAAGCCACTGGATGCCATGAGAAAAACTAAAATTTAAATATTAAATTAAATTAAATCAAATCAAATCACTTCACATAAACGTTTTGAAATTATTAAGTTCCCAAAGATGGCAAGTTTGCCTATTAGTGTATGTGTATAATTCCTATAGCTGAATTCAAATATTGGTTTAGGTTTATGCATTTTTTGCTGTGAGATTTTGAGACTGCAATAAAGAAGCTGTTAGAACTGTCATTCAAATAGCTACTACAGTTGTAGACCCTTAAGAATATTCAGAAAAAAGTGCATTGGACCTCACACAAGGACACAAGCCTCTGCTATTTTTTAAAAGAGCTTGATCTTTCATATTTCCACTTCACTTTTGAAGTATGCAAACCTTGAAAGCTATATATGATTTAATAGGTTCTTTGACAAAAGAAAGGAAGGGAAGAAAGAGTAGTTTATTGATGTTATAAAGTGTTATACGGAATAGATATTTTTTGCTCACAAAACACATCAATTTTAGGTTATGTGAGTATGTTCTCTTTAGTATATCATTTTTGATATGAGATTTAAATGCAGATATTTATTGGAGCAAACTGTAATTTTATTTTTCTAAGGTTTTTTTTTCCATTGTAGAAGTGTAGCTGTGACTCAATTTGGATTTAATTGGATTTTTAAAAAGTGTATGATATGTGTGTTTACAACACATTTTACCTTTGACTTTTTTCCAGGATATTGAAGTTACTTCCCCACCTGATGACAGCATAGGTTGTTTGGCTTTCAGCCCACCAACATTGCCGGGTAATTTCCTTATTGCAGGATCATGGGCAAATGATGTAAGTAACAAATGAAAATAGACAGAGGCATATCATGCATTCAGCTTTCCCTGCATTTGCTGCATGGAATATGACTGCATCTAGCAGACAAAATGTGATATCCGTAAATGGGCAATGGTTAAGGTAATTGCATGCTACCTCTATAAAACAAAGTGGGCTTGTAAAAAGTATTAATAGTAAAGAAGTGCTGCAATTTAATAGTTTGTTTTAAAGGTATCAGAACAAAACCTCTCATAGTATTAAATGAGTTAGGTAAAAATTTCAGGACTGGGCTACTAATTGATTTCATTTCATCAAACTTCATTAATTTTACATTTTTCTGACGATGCACTAAAGTAGAATGATATTTTACAATATCTAAATCTGGAGCAAGGTATTATTGTTGCTTGGGCTTCCATGAGCTGGTGTCTGTTTCATCAAAAAACACCTTTTTTCAGGTTTCTATTTATGAAATATTCTCTCATGGAATGGAAAACTGCTAAGAGAAGTGTGGCCCAGTTGCTATATAAATTGATTTCAAAGGCCTTGAATTGAGCTTCTTGGTCGATAGTCTAATCTTAACATCTTGTTGCATTTTTATAAAGCTAAATGTACTTCATTGTCAAAAAGACGGTAAAATACTTACATTCCAAGTGCTGTTTCATTCATATTTACAAATGTTCTCCATTTATTTCAGGTTCGTTGTTGGGAAATCCAAGATAACGGGCAAACTATTCCAAAAGCCCAACAGATGCATACAGGACCAGTACTAGATGTTTGCTGGAGTGATGTACGTTCCATTATTTCAGAAGAGATGTACTTAAAAGGTTTATAGTGGTTTTCAGAGGAGGAGGAATGTGAGATCAAAACCACTGTCTGAAAGCAATTTCTTTAGTGGAGGAAATTATCCTGGAATGAGAAAAGCAACCCCATTTTAGAGGTTTAACCACTAAAAATCACGTTACAGGTAGTCCTCAACTTATGACCACAATGGAGCCCAAAATTTCTGTTATTAACTGAGACATTTGTTACGTACATTTTGTCCCATTTTACGGCCTTTCTTTCCCCAGTTGTTAAGTGAATCAATACAGATGATAAGTTAGTAACATGGTTCTTAGAATTTTGATCACATGATCCTAGGAATGTTGCAGAGGTCGTAACTGAAAAACGATCATAAGTCACTTTTTTCAGTGCCATTGTAACTTTGAATGGTCACTAAATGAACTGTTATAACCGAGGACTACCTATATTTCTTTTTAAAATGTCTCCACTCTCAGTAGGCACTGTGGAATACATAGTTTTTTGGTTCTCTGTTGTTTAATAGGACGGAAGTAAAGTGTTCACAGGGTCCTGTGATAAAACTGCCAAAATGTGGGATCTTAACAGTAATCAAGCAATACAAATCGCACAGGTACAATTTTCAAATGGACATTGTTTTCTTTGTAACAAATTTAACACTAAAGATTTTGATGAACGTTTCTTCCACAAAATCGGGGGGTGTGGAGAAGCTTGCTAGAAACAATACTTAAAAGTTTCCTTGCAGAGTGCAGAATACTCAAACGAAGTGATTGTGCATACCAGTCTGTGGCCTGTTGGGAACCAGGCTGTGCAAACGAGCAAGCATGCAGAGCTCCATTTTCACATGCGCAGGATTAGGTTGCATGTGCAAAACCATCCCCACCCCATCCCTGCCGCTGCCGGTCGAGTCAGGAAGGTTGGGGACCACTGATGTATACTAATTAATTGGCCTCACTTTAATTCCAATTTCTAAGAAAGGATACAAACCTTTGTCAATATTTTAGGGTATGTTCAAAAGCAAACATTTTAAATGAAGAAATTATACATGATGCTTTGATCACACAGTCTTGTCCCTGAGATTTTTTTTTTCTTAAGTGGGATAAAAAATTGATTATATATTATTCATTGGAATGTACCCTGTTTCCCCGAAAATAAGACATCCCGATAATAAGGCCAATTGGGCTTTTGAGTGAATGCGATAAAATAAGCCTCCCCTCGAAAATAAGCCTTCCCCGAAAATATTTAAACACAGAGCTAGAAATCAGGGAAGACGGCAAGAGGAGCCCCATCTTGCTCCACACGCCCCAAAATAATAAGACCTCCCCAAAAATAAGACCACTTATTTCGGGGTTCAAAAAAATATAAGACAGGGTCTTATTTTCGGGAAAACACGGTAATATACACTTTTCACATTATTCCTCCTCTATAAGGTAGTTTCCAGATATTTGAAAACTATGAATTGACTGAAATATAATGTGATCTTAGTGCTAATGGAGTGAGATCTGTGGGTTTGAATTAAAACTTGATGTGTTTTTAATGGGACCAGAAATGTAACAAGTCTATATTAAATTGAAGAGCACAGGAAAAAACTAAGAGCCTTACCAAAAGCATTGCAGAGGCAAGGCTTAGGCCAGTGATTTTTTTTTATAGAAAAAATTAAATCTGTAATTGCATGAATGGGAAGTGATTCAATATTCTTTTAAATATATTCTTCAGCATGAAGCTCCTGTAAAGACCGTCCATTGGATTAAAGCAACAAATTATAGTTGTGTGATGACTGGAAGTTGGGATAAAACATTGAAGGTAAGTCTTGTAAGTTTTTTTTAATGTGTAAAAAGGTTTTCTGCAATTCTGTGTAATAGTTATTATGGAAAAATGATTGCTAGTACATAGTAGAGTAAGGTGCAATGCATTCCTGTAAATGTGAGACTTATTTCCAAGTGAATGAACTCGAGGGTGAAATCTAATGATTGACTCAAGTATCAATCTATTTAGGGAAGTCTCTATTCCATAATATCCATTTAACATATTCTTTCCCAGTTAATGCCAATCTATCTCTGAATATTATAAAGGATATATGTGAAATACTTTGAACTTTTTACAGTTAGGAGCAATTGTTTTTTGTCTATTACATTTGTAACACTATTTTTAGCAATGCTTTTTAAAAATGCAGCAGATTAAAAATTAAACTACAAGGAACAAACAGATGAGAAAATTGGAACAAAATAGATGAACACAATAACGATGAGCTTCCAAGCAAATAGTCCTAATTTATTTGGTATCCTGACATAGTTTTTTAAAAATCATAAAAAATACAGATGAATGCTCCAGAAAAATAATCTGTATTGATAAAAATGTACATTTTCAGAAACTGGGCCATGCTTGAAGTACTTCGAATGGTAGAGAAGTCAATATTGAGAGTTCCACCAAAAAGAATCTTACTTAAGTATATCAAATTCCAATATAAAAAAAATGCTTGGGAGTCTTTTGAATTGATCCTTATTTCTTCAGTGAGAACTGAGCCCAAGCATGACTTATTCAACCATTTGCTCGTTTGTATCTTCAGTCTCCCACATTCATTATAACATATTTCCTGAATCAATTTTAGTTAGGGTTTGGAGGCGTTTCAAAGTGAAATGATGAATTACCATTCTGCTACTACATAAAAAGAATTTATTGAGGCCTTATTGAACTTTTTTTTTTTAAAGTTTTGGGATACACGAACCCCCACTCCAATGATGACGCTGCAGTTGCCTGAACGATGCTATTGTGCCGATGTGGTAAGATGAATTTCAGAAGCCTTCGGGCCTTGATTAGTTAGAATCATGCCACACTTGACTATCAATCTTTTCTCTATACTGTGGTAATTAGCGGTATTTGTATTATGTGTTATGATAATGAAATAGATGTACTGTTACTGCAGGAAAAAAGCATGTGATTGAATTTTGTTTTAAATACTTTGCTGTTTAGATGTGAATGTGAAATAAAACACTCTTTACTACATAACTGGCTTATGTAACATGGTCAATGGCTTTTGATACCATCGACTATGGTATCATGCTGCACCAGTTGGAAGAGTTGGGGGTGGGGGGCACTGTGTTACGGTGGTTCTCCTTTCTCTCCGACCGGTCACAGTCTGTGTTGGCAGGGGGGCAGAGGTCGACCCCGAGGCGCCTTATATGTACCGCAGGGGTCGGTCCTCTCGCCCCTTCTGTTCAACATTTATGTGAAGCCACTGAGTGAGATCATCTGTGGTTTCGGGGTGAAGTACCATCAGTACGCTGATGACACTCAGCTGTACATCTCCACCCCGGACCACCCCAATGATGCCCTTGAAGTGATGTCCCGGTGCCTGGAGCTGTGCGGATCTGGATGGGGAGAAACAGACTCAGGCTCAACCCGTCCAAGACCGAGTGGCTGTGGTTTCCGGCGTCCCGATATAGTCAGCTGGTGCCATCACTGACTATTGGGGGCGAGTCGTTGGCCCCCACGGAGAGGGCTCGCAGTTGCGTCCCTTTCTGGATCGGGACTCCTTACGCACGATCACTCATGCCCTCGTCACTTCCCGCCTGGACTACTGTAATGCTCTCTACATGGGGCTCCCCTTGAGGAGCACTCAGAGGCTCCAACTGGTGCAGAGTGCGGCCGCGCTGGTGGTTATGGGAGCGACGTGGCGTTCCCATGTAACACCTCTCCTGCGCGAGCTGCACTGGGTCCCGGTGGTCTTCTGGGTGTGCTTCAAGGTTTTGGTTACCACCTTTAGAGCACTCCATGGCTTAGGACCCGGGTACTTACGGGACCGCCTGCTGCCACCAGTAGCTTCTCACCGGCCAGTACCCTCTCATAGAGAGGGGCTCCTCAGGGTGCCGTCGGCCAAACAGTGTCGACTGGCGGCCCCCAGGGGAAGAGCTTTCTCTTTGGGGGCACCTGCTATCTGGAATGAGCTCCCCCCGGAGATACGGAGGATCCCGGATCTACGCACCTTCCGCCGCGCCCTCAAGACCTTTTTATTCCAACAGGCTGGCCTGGCCTAACCTCCCTTTTTAATTGTAAATTTTAAATTTGTCTAAAATTTTAGGGTTGTTTTAATCTGTTCTGGGCCAAATTTATTTAATTAGGTTTTTATACTGTTTTTAAATTTTGTAATTCTGTGTGTTTTATCTCTTGGCTGTTCACCGCCCTGAGTCCCTCAGGAGTAGGGCGGTATATAAATCTAATAATTAATTAATTAATTAATTAATTAATTAATTAATATCTATATAAAATCAGAGTTGAACATTCTCGGTCTGTACTCACGCAATTTCTCCTGTTTTAGATATATCCCATGGCTGTTGTTGCTACTGCAGAAAGGGGCTTGATAGTTTACCAGTTAGACAATCAGCCTTCTGAATTTAGAAGGATAGACTCTCCACTTAAACATCAGGTAACTTGAGTTTTCTTGATTTCCGCAGTATGGCTTGTTTTTAATTGTAACAGATGGTCCTCAACATATGACCACGATTCAGTCTAAAATTGCTGTTGCTAAGAGAGACATCTGTTAAGTGAATTTTGCCCCATTTTACGACGTTTCTTGGCCACAGTTAAGTGAATCACTGCAGTTGTTAAGTTAGCAACACGGTTAAGTAAATCTGCTTCCCCATTGACGTTGCTTGTCAGAAAGTCGCAAAAGGCAATCACATGACCCAGGAACACTGCAGCTGTCATAAATATGAGTCAGTTGCCAAGCAACTGAATTTTGATCACTTGAGCTTGAGCAACGGTTGTGTGAATGACAGTCATGTCACTTTTTCAGTGACACTGTAACTTTGAACAGTCACTAAATAAACTGTTGTAAGTTAAGGACTACCTGTAATGCTAGCATTGGTTTTTTATATGACTTGTCATATATGAAAGTACCTGATTAAAATAGAGTCCCTTTTATTTAGCATCGCTGTGTGGCTATTTTCAAAGACAAAGTGAACAAACCAACAGGCTTTGCCCTTGGAAGCATTGAAGGAAGAGTTGCCATTCATTATATTAACCCACCAAATCCGTAAGTATTTGGAAATGGTCTGCTGTTTACTTTTGAATGCCAAGAAGTGCAGGCTTTTAGAATAACTGTGTTGCATGCAGAGTGAAATGAAGGAATGCATTTTTTTTCAGCGCCAAAGACAACTTTACCTTCAAATGCCATCGATCCAATGGTACAAACACATCTGCGCCTCAGGATATCTATGCAGTAAGTATTTTGTGCATTGCGCAGTAACTTTCCTCTAGGACAAATTAAAGGAGAAAAATGGATATTTATAATAAATTGCAAAAATAATTGCTCTGTTTTCTTAGTACATTTTCATTTAATATCACACATCTGAGTGGAAACCTTCTCTGACAAACTCTAATATATTTGATAAGTAGGATTCAGAATTTAGCTAATATAAAAGCTTGGTTCTGATTAAATTCTACAGGTAAAGCAATTATGATTTAGCTTGAGGAAATGAAAAGAACAACCCTTCCTACTTCAAATATTTGCATTACTTGACTAATGGCTCCTAAGCGTACTTTTCATTCTTGCCCTTATAAATTAATTGCAATCATTTGTTTTGCGAGAATAAAATATGATGGTGAGGAAAGTAATGAAAATGAGTGCTTTAATCACCAACCCATATGGGAAAGCAGTCCTGTCTCATTGTCAAAAGCAGAGTTTGCAGTTGGCAGCCTACCATATATTGCTGAATTTAAACTCAGATTACTAAACCAATTGTGAAGGATACTGGCTGTTTAAGAATCACATTGTTCAAAGCTGTTGTTCTCTGAATCCAGTCATGTCAGTATGGGAAGCTGACCTAAAGTAGCTCTGACCGCAACCAGCAAGGAGAGGCCACTGTATTTAATAATTGCAGTCATTATCAAACTGCTTTTACAGTTAGGAAGGGTTGTTGTTTTCCTAACATTCACTTGGGCTTTGCTTTCCTGTATATTGAATCCATTATTTGGTGGAATTCCAAAATGGTAGATAACGGGTCTTGATTTTCTTTTGTGATATATCATTTCAAGTATTTGAAGACTGCTGCCATATGCCTCTTAGTCTTCTTGTCCCAAAGTTAAATATTTTCAGATCCTTCTGTCCCTCTTAGGTTTCCAGTTCATGCTTATTTCGCTTAACTGAACTGATTCCAATTATTGTGAATCCTTCTTAAAATAAAGTGTCAGAACTGAATCCAGAGTTGATTGTTGCAGAGTAAAGTGAAGCTATTATTTGGAGCTTTTTTGTGCCACAACTACACAGCTTTTGTTCTGTACTTTAGGATACAAGTCATCTGGTTGTGGAAATAGTTACTGTTTTTCCTGATTGATTTTGTTTCTCATACTTTTAAAATTATAAGCTTGGTAAGGTGGGACTTCAATCTTCATTATTGAGAGTATGTGAACATTCAAATTATTTTTTAATTTTTACTGAACAGGTAAATGGGATTGCCTTCCATCCTGCCCATGGCACTCTTGCAACTGTGGGGTCCGATGGCAGATTCAGTTTCTGGGATAAAGATGCGCGAACAAAGCTAAAAACATCTGAACAGCTAGACCAGCCAATATCTGCTTGCTGCTTCAACCATAATGGCAACATATTTGCATATGCTTCTAGTTATGACTGGTCAAAGGTAATTGAGTTTGCTTAAGATAATTTCTATCAACTAGCAGTTGTTAGGAAAATTCAGCCTCTCCAGTGCATTGAAATATCTAGTAAACATCTCCATTGCTGTAGCTAACAATTGGAACACACTTCCAATGAGATCTATCTAATAATGTGCTTAGTAGTTGAAAAATATAAAGGATTTTGAATACAGGTAGTCCTCTCTTAACCACCCAAATTGAACTGGATTTTCCATTGCTAAGTGACGGGAGCGAAATATGACCATGCCATTGAGCAACAGTAGTATTGGTAGTCCTAGTTCTGATTGTTAGGATAGGATCTCATGCTTCTCTTACCCTTCTGCACTCGCTTTCACTCCTGCCTTTGGGAAGGCCTCACACAGCCAGCAGCTGCCTCAGGCAGGGCCATGCCACACACATCTGATCAGCAAAAGGCGGAAGAAATGATGAAGCTGGGGGTGGGGCAGGGGCATTGGAGTGCAAGGCAGACAGAAAAAAAAAGTGGGGGGGTGGGAGAGATATTTGGGTGAGGACAGTTGAAGCACACCCTGAGATCATAAATGAAGACAGGGTGCCAAGTACCCGGATTTCAATCACATTATCATGGGGGCACCGCAGTGGTCACAACACCAAGAACTACTCATAACTAACCTAACTTTGGTCACTGAACAGTGGTTGTTAAGTGAGGACTACCTGTATGACATACTAATATGACAGAATATTTTATTTGTTACTTCATTAGCAAATGTGAAATCTTCCAGAATACCAACCACATTTTTGTAAGGAAAAACTTATTTTTCAGATGGCTAATGATAGGCATTAGGCATAGTACATGATTCAGAAAAGAATTCTCATCATATTTCACCTCAACATTTTGATGCCACTGAACTCCATCTTAAGGTGGTGCAAGACCTGGTACCAAGTAGAAAATCAGTATTAAGTTTTTATAGCAAATTTTAACTGAAGTGGCAGAGGTAAGAAGGTGAAAATACCAAACCACCTATAGATCTGTTACAGTTGTGTTACATATTCTGATGATAGATAACAAAGAATTATTGGAAAAATTAGTACATTATCCACAGTATAAATAGATCTATTCTTTCTTATTATATACAAATATATATAATTTCTCCTTTCCCTTTCACCCTATTGGTGATAGAACTTCAGGTAATCTTCAGATTACAACAGCAATTGGGATTGGAATTTCTGTCACTTAGCAATTGTTTTATTCTCTTCAATCTTGCTTTTTAGCTGACAGTCTCAATTGAATTTCTCTTGCATACAGAATTTCTCTTAATGCCCCTGCATGGATATTTAAATGGAGAACCGCTTTTCAGATATATATTTTCACATAAAGTTTTAAGTCGAGGAACAACTGGTTTTTACTCTGGGCTAAAGGTTTCTATAGCGTTAATGAGTGCTTAATAATTGTGAAGAAAAATCTAATTGAATACCACAAATATTGTGCGCAGTTATTCAGGTTTATACAATAATGTTGTGTTCAACCTTTTTGTTCCCCAGGGGCATGAATTCTATAATCCCCAAAAGAAAAACTATATCTTTCTGCGCAATGCGGCCGAAGAACTAAAACCTAGAAATAAAAAGTAGTGAGTATAACTCTGTCCATTATTCCATGTTGTTTTCCTGCCACCTGCTCTCCCTTGGTTTCCTTGGAGTTGCCTATTAATTCTTAGGAGGATATTCTGTAACTAACATCAAAGCACATTTGGTTGGCTGGAAAATTACCTTGCAAGGAATGCCTGACATGTGCATGAAGGTGTGTCCTTTTTCTTAATAGAGGCAAAATCCTTGCATTGGATCAAGAGACAATAGTTGCATCTTTTAAAGGTACTTGTCAGTTTGAAAAACATATTATGAATACTGCAAAAAATCTAAGACAGCCACCCCCCCTTTTTTTTTCTTGATGGAGGTAAAAGAAAGGCTAACAACTGGGATCAAGGAAATAAACCTAAAAAGACAGTTGTGATTGAAGACCTTTTGTGTATTTTTTGTTATATTTATAGGTCACCTTTCTATTTCAATAAAAACTCAAGGCAATGATTTTTCTTTTTATAATGAAAATGTAAAATTTAATGACTGTCCACTTAGAACAAAATAATGTGTTCTTATTTTTATCCTGTATGCATTATTTTTCTACCGATGAACGTGAACAATAAATTTGTGATTAAAAATCCCAAGCTAGATCAAACATATATATTTGAGATGACGGCAATTCTAGCATGCAACCATAACTTGAAAATTGTAGGCAATGCCTTAAAGGATAATTATTGGCCTTGAGGCTCTGTATCATGTAGAAGCACCATATGATACCGTATATCTTCGTGAAATTTTAAATGTTAGCACCCTGCCTTCCATTTCCAAGGGTCTGCATTAAGTGACAGGGAGTGAGTGAACAGGACAAATGTTAACATTGCACTGTGCCCATGCTTGTGGTATCAACAAAAAATGAAGGACTAGTGTTTTAGATTGAAGAATACCTTCTGTGACTCAGTCGCATATGATTATTTCTGTAAACCAATCTGTGCCCTAACAGACTGTAAATACAGGGGTGTCATCCCCCATCCCCCTGATATATTCCAAGTAGAATAACAGTTTTACCCTCAGCATTTTTATGCCAATTCCAACATCATCAAGCATGGGGATCAAATCAGAATACCACCAAATAGAAATGGTTTGAAGATTTTTATAATGTTATTCCAGTTGAAGTTTATTTTCATTTCGGAATCTTCTGTGTGACTGCCAAAGGACTATTCTTTCAAGGTTGATGCTATAGATATTTATAACGAATGGGAGCAAAACTGTAGAACTTGTATATTACGATATTTCTGTCAATTCAATCTCTGTAAGTTCATATGTTGTAATATTTGCTACTATTTAAATAAAACTGATTTGAATTAAAATGTTTTTCACGTTAATAGACTAATGGTCAAATGCTTATAATCTGGAGTTAGGCAGTAAAATAGAGGCAGCTGGCAATTGCTCTTACTAATTATTTAGCAGAGGTCTGCTTTATTTTATATAGAGAGAGATATAGATATAGATATATCTGCTTCTAATCTAGAGGGCAATCACTAACTTCACTGTAAATGAGAAATCTGTGCTTATCTATGCATCATGTAATCTTGCTACACCTCTCAGCTCAATAACTACACGGTTGTGCTACTACATAAAGAGTGCATGTCTGTTGTTCGTGATTGGCTAACATTAAGTTAAAAAGTTAATTTGTGCAGCTTCAGACAGTTCATCCCAATACTATATCCTATTTCTCTTGAGATTAGAAAGGGTCTGATGAGAACAATGTTAGTTAATGCTGTTTTAACTGAGGATGCTAGAACTGAATCTGCAAGACATTTAATCCACATGTTTTCATGCTGCTTGGTACCTTACAAGGATGCCTGATCTCTTAGCATCTCCTATAATGACCCTCTTCTACCCACTGTTGAAAAATTACCTTCAAGTTCACATAACCTAAATGTCTCCCAACAGAGCCATAGATTTTTTTGATGTGAATCTGTGAGATTAGATGTAGGACTACAGAGAATTCTTCCTACAGTTAGGCAGGTATGTGCATGCCCGGTATTTTGTTCAAATCAACCCAGAGTTTCACTGTGAAGGTCACAAGAAAATGCATATTTGGCATGCAGAAGCTTTGACTGCAGCAATACTTGTATATGCCAATATTTTGAAATCACCTTCGCATGCATTAGGCTTTTAGGAAGAGCAGATCTGACCCTAATTTATTGCTTAATGGCAAGAATCTGATTGTGCTGTTTCTAGATCATAGACAGTAGCTCATAAACATTTAAATGTTTGTGTCAGAGTGCTGAACTGTAACTAATGTAATACAGACTAAATGTATACTCTTTCTGATTATAAAAAAAGCATTTTTCATTTTTACAGTTAAATCTTATGGAAGTCATTATGATTCTAGCAGGTAACCATTCTTTGTGTTTATGTGTGTGACCCCTATTACTCATGCAGAGCAATGTACTCCTGGTTTCACTAGACCATAGTTATAGTCCTCTACCTGTGACCATTCATTCGGTGATTATTTGAAGTTACAGCAGTGCTGAACGAATGATATTATGGTCATTTCAGCCCTTGCAGCATCCCTAAGATCATCCTCGCAGACTGGGTGCTATGCAACTGTTTCACATAGTTGCAGTGCCCTGGATCCTCCTGACTGCTATTTACAACCTTCTTTACAATGGCACTTTTAGGTATACAACAAAAGTAAAACATGAACCAGAAGCCAGTTGCTATGCTATTGGTGGAGTAGGCTATCATAAAAGGAATGGAAGTTAGTGTTTAACAATAATCCTCATTAATTTACTACAGTCGTTAAGAAATGTCAGCAGATGTGCCGTGTGCCGCTATAACTCCAAACTGAGAGCTTAACCACAGTTGCCTGCAATTTTGTAACGTCTCATTGCAACTTCTGCAATTCGTTGCTTTTTAAAATAGTTCTGAAACTACAGATGGTTTAGAAAAAGACTGGCAGATTATTAATTTTGGCTACCAATGCTTTGTTGGTTGGGCTTCTAGGCCCAAGGTAAAGTTCTTTTAATGGGATGGAATCAAGATACCTTAAAGATCATTATTTCTTATGCATGGTTGTCTTGTAAAATCTTCATCAGGAGTCTAGACGCCCCATCAATTAAAATAAGGGGGATGGATCAAGTGATATACCCTACTCATTACTGAATCATAAGGTAGAAGAAACCTTTCTCTAAGGCAGTGGTTCTCAACCTGTGGGTCAGGACCCCTTTGGGGGTCAAATGACCCTTTCACAGGGGTCGCCTAAGACCATCGGAAAACACATATTTTCAATGGTTTTAGGAATAATTTTATAGTTGGGGGTCACCACAACATGAGGAACTGTATTAAAGGGTCGCAGCATTAGGAAGGTTGAGAACCACTGCTCTAAGGAAACATTCAATTGGCCTTTTTCATATCACATGAAAAGGTTTAACAGAACTTCTGTTATTTATTTAGATTTAACAGAACTTCTGTTTTTACAGTCTAGTTTTCTTCATTATTTTTGTTTTTCTTAGTTATTTTTTCTTCCTGTTTTGAAAAGGACATGTTTTTTGTGCTGCCATGACAGATTGCGACAGCTCATAGAAAAATCACTCTCCTTTCTCAAAAGTTGTCTTAAGAGTGACAACATCTTAGGGTCTTCATTTTTGGTGCACCACTTATGTAGTATTTTTCTACTGCCACCAGTTGTCCTTCCAAGGGAAAGGAATGCTGTGGGCTGGCTCTTCTTCCATTAGTATCGGCTTAGAGGGAGCATCTCAATTTGAGCAGTTACTTTCCTGAAAACCAGGTATAATGGTAGTAATAGTAGTAGCATTAATACAGTTAGTAATGGAATAGGAAGCTCTGTAGCATCATCTGCAGGGCCTAGTAACTTTCAAGATGTGTGACAGAAAATAGTTACCCCTACTTTTAAAAGAAGGCAAAAGCACCAATCTTTAAAAAAAATTATTAAAAAAAAGGAAAAGTACAGTATCTATTTAACATTACGTAGCCAAATATCCAGAGCAATGACAAATGGATGGAATAGGTCATTTAGTACTGACAAAAATCACAAATGGCATCTCAGACATCAGTTTCCAGCACGTCCATAATGGGAGGGAGCTGAGATAGAATAAAAGAAACCAAAGCTTTCCTCCACTGTCTTTTCTCCTTGTGTTCTCAAGGAGTTTTTGTCTATCTGGAAAACGCATGTGAGGAGAGAACATGCCTGTTTTGCTCCCATACAGCAAATGCTGGAATTAAGGGCATGCCGTGGACTCTCTCTCTGTGTGTGTGTGTGTGTGTGTTTTCTTTTTAAATATGTTTTTTAAAATAGTATAAGCTATACAATAGAGTTTTGGTTTAACGAGCACTCATTTAGTGACTATTGAAAACTGTAACAGCCCTGAACAAGACCGGTGCTTGAAATTCTAGCTATTACAATGTCCCCCATCCCCCACAATCATGTGGTCACGATCCAGCCGCTCAGCAACTGACCCAGATTTCCAACAGCTGCAGTGTCGTGCATTTTTATGTGATTGCGATTTTCACCTTTCCTCCTGGCCTCACATTCACAAAGTCAATGGAGGAAGCTGGCAGGCAGTTATTATTATTATATTATTTAGTTGGAAGTCAACATCCGTTTGAGGACCTCACTTAATGAGCTGCATGGTCCTTGGTTATCGACGGTAACTGGAGACAGTGCCACGTGATACTGTGCTTTACTACTGCACTGGTTAGTCCCCGTTACCATTGTTAAACAAGGACAACCAATGTTACTGTTCATTTGAGGTCAATCATTTAAGAGTCAGCAAGCCCAAATGTGTGCAGTTGATAGATTTTCCATACTGGGAGCAAGAGAGAAGAATTGTTTTTTTTATAAAGTATATTCAACTACTTGAGATACAGCAATAACATCAACATGGACTGATTTAAATCTTAAGTATGTGGTCTTAATTAGAAAAGAGTGATATTTCAATTACATTTTTGCAAATTTTCTCTTCAAATATTTCAGCTTAAAACTACATCATCTTGAAAGTATAATTTACCATTCAATATCATAGATTTGATTATGTTTTATCTTTTAAAACTGGCTTATTATGTGTTTCTGCTGCATTTATGTTGCAAAATGTTCTATTTCTTTAGTCGGTGGTAGCCGTAAAGAAAAGCTTGTTCACAAGCTTTCCTTCAAAGGTGCCCTGCATCACGCTGTACCTTCCGATGTATATGTTTGGACAATATTAGAACAGTCTAAAGGAATTAATATATTAATATTGTATTAATATTAATAGAATGCAAATGTTCTTTTACATTTCTGATGTAAAGCTTTTGGCAGACTGGGTTTCTGTCCTTTTTTTAAAACTGCTGAGTTCTGAAGAATGATTTTGAGAAGCTTCATTTATGTGCTAAAACAAGGATTCGCTTCATTAGGGATTTAAATACATCTACGATGCTATGTTGGGTGCTCTTAAGTCCAAGTTAAGATGTTTTGTAAAGCAATTGACAAAAGATACTCACAATATTGTGAGACACTTTTAATTCAGAGTTTGAGTAGGAATGTGTTTGTGTGTATATAATATTGTCAGCTTTGAAAATGTGCTTTGTTCTTTATATTTTTCTAGCAGCTGCTCAGGTTCATGGAAAAGGTGCTGAAGCATGTGCTTAGAGATCAGTTATTTGTGTGCATCTCAGAATAATAGATCTTCAAAAGACCCCAAAATTTTAGTTTGCACCGCTTGCTGGTAAATCAAGGGTAGCGGGGAACATACTAAGTAATTGTAGTTAATTCAGCAAAATGCATCTTTTCTAAGAATCACTCTTCCACTCTGAGCTTCATGTATTTAGTTTTAGGAGTTGCCAACAGGTACCATATTCCAAAGAAGGCTTTCCCTTTTAAATCTGAAATACTTCTGAGCCCTGTTAAGCAAGTACTCCTTAATGTATGACCAGCTGCTTAGCTGATGTTACGACGTATTCCCAAATGTTCTTATGACCAGAATTCAAAGTTCCAATAGCTGTAGACATGATCCATTTTTGGTGCCCAGCTCACATTTGTAGCCATTTGCAGTGTCCTGTGGTCATAATGACCCTGATTTATGACTTTTTTGCCAGATGGCATTTACTCCCAGTTTCCAGGGGAAAAAATTCCCATTGTAGACAATGGATTTGTTTAACGACTGTGGCGTTCACTTAATGGCTGCCACAAAAATGTCAGAAAATCTAGTTGATCATGTGATGATTTGCTTAATGACCTGCACAACGTAAGATAATTCTGGTCTCAACTATAGTTGTAAATTGAGGACTACCTGTAATAGGAGAGTACAATTTGGAGTTGTGAAGTAGAGTATTACCATCAAACCTAAATAAAATAATTCTTATATTGTATTATATATACATGAATCTTAACTAACAAAATGTTACAGATTTTGTAGGAATTAATTGATCAGTTTATCTTAGCGTAATAATTGTTCTTTCCATTTCTAACACTGTGAGTTAATTGGTTCATAAAATAAATGTTTGGACCCTTGCGCCCATACTTGGATTGGATGATTTCTAAAGCAACCTTTCTTACAAATCCTTGTGTTCCTTTTTATTTTGAAGGTGCCACAAGAACTTCAACTGAGGAAGGAATTTCTACCAGAAACTTAACTAACCGTGCCTGTCAGTTGGGCTTCTTCCTTGTGCTTTTAATGAGGCCAAAATAAGAAAAATCAAAAAAAAAAAAAAAAAAAAAAAAGAAAGAAAAGAAAGAAAGAAAGAAATGCTCAGTTGTCTTTTCCTTTCCCCTGTTTTTAAAAATCTGTTGCTTTTATGGGAACTGCATTCACTTGAAGTGTTCTACATGTGGCCATTTGTTCCTACCTGTACTTGAAGGCTGCGGGCCTTTAACCTGTGGCTTAATTTCAAGTAATCATGCATAGGATCGCACTGTGCATGACAGCAGCACTGCCTCCCTCCTCCAACAGGACTTGGAACAGTATTGAGGAATATTTAACAGTGAGAAAACAAACAGCAGCATAAAATATTTTAAGATCTCTCAAAGGTTCACAGTATATGAAGAGTTATAAAAATCATGAACAAAATATTTTCAGTTCTTTTCACCATGGTTGGGATTCTTATATTTTTGCCCCATCTTGGTTCTGGTGCCATCTTTATAAGTTCTTGAAAAATTTACCTTGATTTTTTTTTCCAGTAGAAAGTTAAGCAAGTGTCCTTAGCATCAATCTGGTTGTTATTATGGATCTTCTTCAGCACAATGTCTTCAGTGGTGATTTTAAGAAATCAGTTTTCACACTGTGGTCCCATGAACTCCATTCAGGAAATCTATCGAAAAGTCAACTATTATTTATGCTTTGGCCTTGAACTTGATTTATTTTCTAAGAACAGACTTCATAGCCTGGTTGAATTAACCCTTAAACTTCAGGTGCCAGGTTTTTACAAGATGCTTCTTTTCAACAGTAATGGTGCTACTGAATAAAGCAGCATTTGTTCTTATATGAGTTATGTTCGTGCTGGAATTTGAGCTGTTTACTAAGAGGCTCATGAAGCTGTCTAACAATTTGCAAGTGGTCCATGATTTAAAATAAAAATTGGGCATCTTGTTGGAACCTCTTAATTGCCCCAAATTGATACAGAAAAGACGATGAATAGATTAGACAATGCAGATTAACAATTTCTGAAATAGGTTGTCACACTATGACAAAACTATGTGGAGAGATGATGAACCTGCATGATGATTTCACAAAACATTGGCTTTGCTTATGGCAGAAAAGTTTTATTTTACAATTTTCACCATGCAGATTCTATTCTATACCCTGTTGTATCATACCATCAGTTTGTTCCCTTACCATGCACGCACACACAAAAAACAATAACTTGCCTTTATTTCTCGTTTCTGGCATTCTTTTATTGATCAGTTCTTGCCAGGTATTAAAAATATTATATAGGGACTACTAGTGGAATCATTTTAATAATTCCTCCCACATGTTCATAGATGGCAATTTTGGTGCACTGCTGGCAAAACAAGGATTAATAGAGCTCTTCCACCATCAGCATTACACCCTGGTGTTGTGTGTAGTATAAGCAGACCAAAGTCACACAAAGAGCAAATGGAATAAAATTATTGGTGGACTGTTCTCTTCCTCATTGTAGGTGATTGGCCATAGGACTTCCTTTATCTGTAGAGAGAGGTGTTAGAGGGAACAAATCTACAATATATCTTTTTCTCTGTTGATGATTCCTTGTAGATGGACCTGAAATGGCAAGGTCCCAGAAAAATGTTATACTTCCTCTGCTAATTCTTTAAAACTACATTTAAGATGCTTCGGAAATCAGTTTGCCCCATCAACTTAATGCACGTTTGCTGATCTTGCTGTTCAAACACGTGGTCCTTGACTTAAGATCATTCAATGCCAGTTCAAAGTTACGACAGCCTTGGAAAAGGTGACGACTTGTCCTCAAAGTTATGACCATCGCTTCACCCACACCCCTCGATCACCTGATGGCAATTTAGGCTCTTGGCACCCAGCTCATATTTATAGTGGTTGTGGAGTCTTGCAGTCGCATGACCATGATTTGTGACCTTCCCAGTCAGCTCCCGACAAGCAAAGTCCACTGGGAACTTTGCATTAAAAAATGGTCATAAAAATGGGTCTGGGTCACATGATGACTCATTTAATGACTGAATCATTTCATAACCAAAATTCCAACTGTTGTAAATTGATGACTGCACATGTCCACAATATTTTGGTAAGTACAAATTCCATAGTAGGCATAGCTGCTTTAAGGCATTTGTAGGGTCCTTGGACATTTGGGACAGAATGATTATAACGACTGAAAGCACAATAATTTTGAGGCCAATTAATTGTTACACTTATATAATTGTTATACTTGTTTTTAACTGATACTCGTTTTGTTACAGATATTTTTGTTAACTGGTATACAGTATGGCAATCGACTTTGCTCAAACAGCCCTATGAAAACTTTACATAAATAAATCCTGCAGACCCCAATCCCTTGAGACACTTTAGGGATCAAATCAGAAACACTACAACTTTACTAAAAACTGGAATTTCTACTAAAACAAGGTGATAAAATCTGTAAAGCTACATGTAGGCATCAGGAAGGGCATCCGGCCAGTAAATGTTCAGTTCCAGTTGCTCCGATTTTACCCCGGACAAGGATTACAGGGTTGTAAAAGGAGTTTTTATATAACTATATTGAAAACTTTTATTAATCAATAAAGAAACAAGAAATGGATGGGATTCAAGCAATCCTGCATACAAGTGTCACATGTTCTTCATAAGCAATTTAATTTCTAAGAAAGAAGTGTGTCTTCTAAGCACAAATAAGTAATGTACTTTTTTTCTTTTTTTTTTTTATTTTGGTTAGTCTTTTCTATGAAATTGTTTAAATATATTTTTTAAAAAAAATATAACAAAGCGCATATGTTAATTTATATTCCTGAACAGCCACATAAATACCTGTATGTGATATTTGGCCTGGCACTGAAAAACAGTTTTTCAGAAATTAACTGCTCACTATGTAAATAAATATATGGATGAATGATAAAAAAATTTTTTTAAGAATTGTTGATACTGTACACTTTACTTGAGCCAGAAGATGGCAGCATTTGTATCTATTTCAGGTTGAAAAAGGAAAGTTTGGAAGGCTTGGTCTAATCAGCCTAAACTAAAAAACGAAATAAAATTACAGGAAATTAAAATTAAAAACTCCACTGCTTTAGGTGCTTATCAAACTTAGGAAGCTGGAACCACCCAAAAGTCAGATTCCTTGTTTTGGTTTTCTTGATAATTATAGAAGACAGGCTCAGCAAATTCAGATGCTTCCTTCTGGTGTTCCAGGATGAATTTAGATACCTCCTAAAGCTATTTATAAGAATAACCTTTTCTCTCAACTGACAAGACAGTAATTTCTTCAAAAGAAGAATGGTTTTGTTTACACACTGAACTTGCAAAGAAATACTGGGAGGTGATATGCTCAGCCTGCCAAACATTTTTTTCAACATAGCTTTCCATTCCCGACTCCCTTCCAAACTTAGACAACCCCAATAGCAAGACGTATTCCCTTCATTTGACTGAGAGATGGGAATACTTCCTCTGCCCTTTCTCATTTCCTAAAATTTTCTCTAGTTCCACAGCAGCATGAATCACTTCCCCCTTTGTATCAAGGTGCCATTTGGCATTGGAAGTGCCATTTTGACTACATAAACGTCAGAATTTAGAGTATTTGTTATCAGCATGGATGCGTATGTATTTGTGTGAAACACATAACTTAAAGGTTTCAGGAAAGTAAAAAATAATGCCCTTTATCATAATTTAGGATGCTGCTACATTTATATCCTGCTTTATATCCTCGTCAGCCTTGTGAGGTAGTCCAGACAAAAAGCATACTTTATTGTAAGGTTATATTAAGAGAATCTTGCAAATCTGAAAATACATCTCACCCCAACCCTGTCTTTATAATATAAGAAACTAGGAAAGGCCCCTTCTAAGATGTTTGCATGCCAAACAAATCTTACTTCATTCTTTGATAAATGACAAAATTAGTGGGCCAGTGAAATGCTGAGGGTATAGTATGCTTGAATTTCAGTAGATTGCAACCTATTTCTTGATACAATAGAAAATGTGGATAGACAGCATCACCATCAGATGAATTTGTAGCTGGCTGACAAACCACACTCAATGTGTAGTCCTCAATAGAAACTACATCTATGTGGAAGGAAGTATGCCTTGGGGTACTATCTTAGCCCCAGTACTCTACAACATCTTCATAAACGATTTAGATAAAGAGGTAGAAGGGGAACTCATCCAATTTGTAGACGATATCAAACTAGGAGGATTAACCAACATTTTAAAATATAGGCTCAAGATCCAGAAAGATTTTAACAGACTTGAACACTGGGCCCTATTCAACAAAATGCAATTCAGTGGTTAGAAGAGTAAGGTACACTTAGGCAAGAAAAACCAAATGCACGGGTATAGAATAGGTGGAACCCAGCTCAATCATAATAACTGACAGTTATCCACTATCCACTAAGTCCTAGTGGTTGACCGCTTAAGTGTAAGCCAGCAATCTGCTACAGCTGTCAAAAAAGCCAATGCAGTCCTTGGTTGCATCAACAGAGGGATAGTATCAAGATCACATGAAGTATTAGTACTGCTATATACTGTCTTGGTAAGACTACACCTGGAATACTATGTCCAGTTCTGGTCACCAGAATACCAAAAAGATGTTTAGACTCTTTTCTGGAAAGAGCAACAAAGATGATCAGGGGGCTAGAGGCCAAAACAGAACAAACAGTTGCAAGAACTGGATATGTCTAGTCTAATAAACAGAAGGACCAGGAGTGACATAGCAGTCTTCCAATATTTGAGAGCTGTCACAAAAAAGGGGACAACCTATTCTCCAAAGTAACTGAGGGCAGCAAACACAACGGATGGAAACCTATCAAAGAGAGAGATCCAACCTAGAATTGAGAAATTTCCTGACAGAACAATTAAGCAGTAGAACAACTTGCCTTCAGAAATTGTGGGTGCTCCAATACTGGAAGCTTTCAAGAATATATTCCACAGCCATTTGTCCAGAATGGTATAGGGTCTCCTGCTTGGGCTGGGGTTGGACTAGAAGACTTTCAAAGTCCCTTCCAACTCTGCTATTCTGTATTCTGCCATGTGTTCATGCCTTCTGCAGACCCAGGTGCCATTTGTCTGGCCATTGTCTAATACATGGATCTTTCTCCTGTCTCTCAAGTCATCCCCACATATTACATTCCTCCAACAAATACAGACACACATAGAGTGAGAGAGAGAATAACAGAGTTGGAAGGGACCTTGGAAGTCTTCTAATCTACACACCATCAACTCTGTGAACTAGGCTGGACTAAAAGCAGAACTGTCCCGAGGGCAACCAGGGAGCTTCTTGTCCACGTAACCAGTTTAATTAACAGGTGAAGGCATTCATGTTCTGCAGCCAACTTCATAAGATGAGTAGTCTGGCTAAGGTTGATGTTGAACCCTAAGGTACCACCATAGATTCGCTTGGCCCTCCTACTAAAAGCTTTGGTAGCTCAAGTAGACTTGAATGTTGGGATTTCTTTTCCCAATTCCCTAACTGTCACAGCACACTAGATATCTCCTGTAGCTCTGGCACTATGTGAGATATCTGTGGGGTATGAGCATTTTGAGACATTATATACTCCAAACCAGGAACTGGTTTGCAAATGATACAATTTAAAGAGTCTTCAAACTTGGGAATTTCAATTCAACATTCTGGGAGTTGGCCACATATCTTAAAGTTCCGAAGTTTGAGAATCACTAATCTGAAGGAATTGAAAGACAAAGGAACAGTCTACATAAGCACTGAGTAATTAATGTCTTCCTGAGCTGAATGCATATGCTAAGTAATTAATCATGAGGAGAAAATCTGTTCAGTTTAGGAAGGCAACAGTGCCAGCTGTTGCATCTTGTGCTTGACTTACAAATGATATTGCAAGACCAATAATATGTACCAAAAGTTACAAGCCTGGGAGGGCAAGAATTGCTTAATCTACATTAGTGGCCTTTTAAGCAGCGTGCAACCGCCGCCAAAAAAGGCTAATACAATCCTGGGTTGTATAAGCAGAGGCATAGAATCAAGATCATATGAAGTATTAGTACCGCTTTATAAAACCCTAGTAAGACCACCACCTGGAATACTGCAACCAAACACCAGAGGGCAGGACAAGAAACAATGGTTGGAAACTAACCAAAGAGAGAAGCAATCTGGAATTAAGGAGAAACATCCTAACAGTGGGGACAATTAACCAGTGGAACAACTTGCCTCCAGAAATCATGGACGCTCCATCACTGGAGGTTTTTAAGAGGAGACCAGACCAGTGATAGTTAACCTTTTCGGCATCGAGAACTGAAACTGGAGTACATGCATGCGTGCTGGAGCACCGTAACCCGGAAGAGAGAAGCTGGCCAGTGCACATGTGCGGCGGCCAGCTGCTCTTCCGGGTTCCGTCATGAGCATGTGCGGCGGCTATCTGGTCCGGCGCGCATGCGCACCAGCAGCTTCTCTCTTCTGGATTCTGGTGCATGCCACCTCTGGCACATGTACCATAGGTTAACCATCACAGGACTAGACAGTCATTTATCTGAAATAGTATAGGTTCTCCTTTTGGAGCAGAGGGCTGGACTAGAAGACCTCCAACGTCCCTCCCAGCTCATTCTATTCTATTCAAGCAACTAGATTATTTTTGTAGGTATTACCATCCCTCAACTGCAAACACCTGAATGCTCACGAGATGGCAGTAAGAAGACACTAAAACTCTCTTTGGTGTCATTCAGGGCCACTCAGCTTTTTGTAGCCCAAATATGCTATGCCTATTTTTTCCAAAACGTGTATTTATGATACTGTATGTAATACAGATAGTCTTTGACTTACAACCATTCGTTCAGTAACCAGAGTTACAATGGCACTGAAAAAGGTAACTTACGACCATCTTCACACTTACGACCGTTACAACATTCCCATATCATATGATCAAAATTCAGAGGCTTGGCACTTGGCATGTAGTGTTTAAAAGCACATAGACACAGACAAATAACAAAAGAATTGTGGAAATCAGCAGAACCCATTTAAAAAGCTATTCTGGCAAAACTCAGCAGGAATGACAGTTGCTTTACATCTTTAGCATCTCCCATTAAAAAGGTCTCCAATTGGGGTGCTGTCTGGTTACAGATTCTGGAAATCTCTAGCCAAAAGGATTGGCGCAGAATCGAAGGCCAATGAAGAATGGGACAGAATTATTGGGGAAGCTGGTCTCATATTGTGCCCTGTCATCTTACCCATCCAAATAAGGTAAAGCAAAATAAGGAAATGAAAAGAAAATTGACAAATTCCATGTGAGCTTTTAATGAGTGTACTCATTAGACATGGGCTGCATGGCATGAATATTAAGCAGATCCTGTAGAGAAATTGAGAGAGGACCTTGGGGAAGATATGAAAGAGACATTAAAGGAGGGAAGAAGCCTTTAAGGAGGGATCTGAAGATGAGATTACACTCTCCAGAGCAGTGTTTCTCAATGGGGCAACTTTGAGGATGTGTGGACTTCAACTCCCAGAATTCCCCAGCCAGCATTGCTGGCTGAGGAATTCTGGGAGTTGAAGTCCACACATCTTCAAGTTGTCATGGTTACGAAATACTGCTCCAGAGATCGAAGTGAGGGTGAAGAATATAAAATAACTCTGCCTTGTTTTCAGGACTGGAAGCCATCTTTTGCCTTGGGCCTTCAGGCCTGCCACATTTAGCACTGTGGAAAACTGAGAGGGGGGATTGTATGGAGCAGGGGAGATATAAAGTCATAACTACATTCCTTTCTCAGAGTGTCAAGGACATCTTGCCCTGCACCTGGAGGGGTGTGACTGGGAGGCATCTCCAGATGGGACAGTGCTTTGATTGAACCATATGATAACATGTGGGTACTGGGCAGGGACTTGGACTTTCCTTTGGGTAGGGAAAACCTGGAAGCTTTCAGATTCGGGTTTTCCCAGATGTGCCAATATGACATCTCTAATAAAATGAAACTTTGAGGAACTTCAAGCCTCGGAATCTTCTTTTGTTGGGGGTGTTACTTGGAACCCTGACACCTTGATTTTTGTTTTGACAGATTTTGTTTGGACAGGCAATCAAGATTCTGTTCTATTTTACAACAATAATAAAGCAGCATTCCTAGAATCCCTGCCATGTATTTCTTGACCTGGCCTACCTCAAAGGGCTGATGTAAACCCTGAATGCCCATCTAAGGCTTGTTTCTCCCTGTTATGACCTCATCTACCAGGTCTTTGGCCAGCCATCAGAATTATACCTAAAACCAAAGGGATGCACGAATTTAAGGAAAGCTGCTCTCTCAGAAAGAAAATCTCAAAAAGCCTCATATTCACTGTTCAAGAAGTGCTTTCTGGCATTTCAGGAGATAATAGCATCCCTCTAGCTTTTGGGACAAGAATAATAAAAATTCTCAATTTGTGATAACATCTTCTCCTTCTTCCAATGAGTTTAGGATGATAAGAAGCATCACTTCATTAGGCTAAACAGGAATTGGCCAGTGGTGAAATTCAGCCGGTTATATCTGGTTCAGGAGAACCGGTAGCACCGGCTGTGGGAGGCTCCGCCCACTCACCCAGATGTCATCACGTCCAATTTTTGACCCTCTGTGCTTGTGTGAAGGAGGCATGCACGCTCACATTTGCAAACTGGTAGCAAAAGTAAGTGGATTTCACCCCTGGAATTGGCCCCAAAGATCCATTTCTCCAGTATGATCTGGGAATAAATGCCGCATTTTTCTGTGTATAAGACAATACTTTTTCTGAAAAATGTTTATCTAAAAAGGGAGGGGTGTCTTATACATGGGGGGGTGAGGGACGGGAGGAGAACCGTGGTTGCAAGACTGCCAATACCTTATCTCTGCAAACTACCCTCACAAGCGAAACTTCTGATTGCAGAGACAAGCTAACAGGTTTCCTCCAATCATGAGCCTTATGTAACTGACGTCAGCTCATGCTGCAGAGAGAGTGTAGCCAGTGCCCACATGCAACAGGCAGCGGTAATGTCGGAGCGTTCTGAACCCATACAAATCAGTGGTGGGTTGCCCACGGTTCGCACCGGTTCTATAGAACCGGTACTAAAACCGACGGGAGGCTCCGCCCACCAACCCCGACATCATCAGAATGTCTTCTGCGCATGCACAGAAGAGCGCACACTCGCGGCCCTGTTGCAAACTGGTAGTAAAGGTAAGTAGAACCCACCCCTGATACAAATGTCAGAAAACAAAAAAATAGGTACCGGTAAGCGAATGTCTTACTCTGCAAAATAAATGTCTTCTATTTAATGTTTAAAATATTGATTTCTGAATTTTGGGTAAGAAAAATAGGGGGCGTCCTAAATATGGGGGGCGTCTTCTAGATGGAAAAATATGGTAAGTGAACATGACGCTTCCTCCTGGCCTCAATGGTTCAACTGATGGAGTTCTTGACTGAGTATGGGACGTTAACACAGCCGCTACAGCTTAGCATGATTTGAAAAGAACGTCACCGTAGGTTGTCCACCAAACCTTAGGCTTCAAAGACTTATACGGTGTGACCTCTATCCAATGGATGAAGACCTCTTGTAGCCTTGTAGAAGACTTCTGATTGGTCAACCAAGACAATTCTAGCTTGACTCACCAGTGAAGAAATGACACAGGAATTCTGTCACAAAGGCTTGTGCAGAGGCTTGGACTCATCCACCCTTTGGAGATTTTCCACAGCTGCAGCTGGCGCTGTGCCTGCAGCCGGCAACACAGCCATGACAAGGAAGATGCTCTTCTGATTCTCAACTTGCCCATTTTGGTTTTGTTTTTTCCCCTTACCAACCATGGCCGTGCCGGGGGACAAGGTGTACAACAGTTGCCTCCCTTTTGGTGAGACCCATCAGAAGCTCTTAGCCACCATTCTGATTGTGTTGGGCCTTTTTGCTTTACTGGAATATGCCGTTAAACTGATTGCCTTGGTAAGCAAAATGAATCAGGTGGGTGTTAACACATGTCCTCACAAGCTGGATGGGCTGCAGGGAATATTTGGCCTTCTGAATTGTGGGCATTGGATGAGCATCACTGGGCATTAAGGCTTCTATGAGCTTCTCTACTGGATCTAAGAGCCTCTTCTGAATATAAGCTTTTCTGCTGAGATGCTTCTTCTCCAAAGCAAATGATCATAGTTAAAACAAGGTTTCTTCTTTCCTGAGTGATGGTGGTGAAGGCGTGAATTAGGTCTAGGTTTACAAGGCAAGTAAATAGTGAGCACTAAAGATGATCAAGCTGCAGCATATTCCAACAGGAAGCCAATTTGGTTAATCCCAGAAAAAAAAATACTGTATTTTTCGGAGTATAAGACGCACCTTAGTTTTTGGGGAGGAAAATAAGAAAAAAGCTGATTGGCAGGTGGATCGGCCTCCCGGAATACCCCCAATCAGCTGTTCTCAGAGGTGAATTTTAGCAACAGGTTCCTTGGTTGTGAGCTCTGTGCCTTGTTTTTTTTTTCTGCCTCTGAAACTTCTGAAACTTCTGAAACTTTTTTTTCTGCCTCTGAAAGCCTCCGAAACAGAGCTTCAGAAAAAAAGCCTCTGAAGCTCTGTTTGGGGGCTTCTTTTCTGAAGCTTCGTTTCTGATGCTTTTTTCAGCCTCTGAAACCTTTGTTTGAGAAGCTGGGCAGGGCTACATTCAGAGTATAAGACGCACCCAGATTTTCACTTTCTTTTTTGAGGGGGAAAAGGTGCATTTTATACTCTGAAAAATATGGTAAGTAGTCTCAACCTGATAGGTACTGGGATAAGATATCACCAGAACAGGGGTGTCAAACTCACAATGACACGTCGTCATGTGACGTATCAGAACTTTTTTTCTCTTCACTAAAATGGGGGTGGGGGTGGCCAGTGCATGATGTATCCGGCCTGTGTCACAGCTTGACACCCCTGTGCTAGAAGATCAGCACAGGAGACTAGAATGGGGAGCTAAAGAAACTTTGCAAGATGGCAATGAAAACCACTTCTAAATGGCTGCCAAGAGGGCAAAGGGGACTTGAAGTCCCAAGTATCAAGTTGACAGAACAAAGTTTTACTTTTTAAACAAACAATAAGAAGAAAAAAGGGTTCTGCTAAAAAAGGCCTGTTATAAAGGTTTTCCTTACAAAGAAAATCCTGGTGAATTGCCTCAGAATCAAAAGAAATGAGACATAGGCGATACAAACACAGATCCCCAATAATTCAATTTTCTAAAAAAACAAAACCACTCAGGACTGACTGACTACTAAGTTACACTTGGCTTTCTCCTATGAGAGTCAGAGGGATGTACATTTAATATTAGTGAGAGTATGTTAGCCTTTAAAAAAGGGACGAGGTGGCTCAGCGGCTAAGACGTTGAGCTTGTCGATCGAAAGGTCGGCAGTTCAGCGGTTCGAATCCCTAGTGCCGCGTAACGGGGTGAGCTCCCGTTACTTGCCCCAGCTTCTGCCAACCTAGCAGTTCGAAAGGACGTAAAAAATGCAGGTAGAAAAATAGAGATCACCTTTGGTGGGAAGGTAACTGTTCCATGCACCTTTGGCATTTAGTCATGCCGGCCACATGACCACGGAGATGTCTTCGGACAGCGCTGGCTCTTCGGCTTTGAAACAGAGATGAGCACCGCCCCCTAGAGTCGGGAACGACTAGCACATATGTGCAAGGGGAATCTTTACCTTTACCTTTACGTTAGCCTTTCAACAATTACAAAAACACTTTTCCTTTAACTCACAAAAAGCTTCTAACACAGCAGGCTTCTATTTGTCAGCATTTTGGCCCTGCAAAAACGTGTATATGAATTAAAGTGACAAAAAACAGACCTAGATAAAGGAGAGGAATATAAATTGATTGCATTTATACAGCTGCCCAACTCAGGGAGACAAATAGCAGATCTGGGTAAGGGAGGAGAATATATACAGTATTTATTGATTTATTTATTACAGGGATTTACCCAGCCGCTGAACTCAAGAAGCATGAGCAGCATACAAAAAACATTAAGCAAGAAAAAAAGAATCCCAAAGCGTACATCGTTTGTAAAAATAATTCAAATATGCAAAATGACGAACTGACAGAATAGATTAAAACAACGGATGCTATAGGGCATGAGTGTCTAACCTTTTGGCTTGCCTGGGCAACATCAAGTGAAGAGAAATAGTGTTGGGCCACATATAAAATACATAATATAGTTTTATAATATACAATCATATAATGTTAAAACTTTATGATCATGTGGGGTCACATTACCTGAGATCCATGGTGGCATGTAGTCCGTGGGCTGTGGGTTGGCCGTGCCTCCTGTACGGGATTCTACTCATCTAGACCAGTGTTGAAATGTAAAATTTGTTACTACCAGTTCTGTGGGCGTGGCTTGGTGGTGGTGGGGGTAATGTGACTGGGTGGGTGTGGCCAACTTTTTTTTTTTTTACTTTTAAAAGCATTTTTTCTACAACCTTAAGAGGTTGCAGAAAAAAATGCTTTTAGAAGCCTCTGACAATCAGGCAACTCAGTTGGGATCACCAGAGGCTTTTAAAGGCATTTTTTTTCCCCCTAGAACCTCTTTGGCCAGAGGTTGCAGAAAAAAAATGCTTTTAGAAGCCTCTGGCAATCCCAGCTGATCCGCGCGATCATCAGAGGCTTTTTTTTTTTTTAACTTTTAAAAGCATTTTTTCGGCCGAAGAGGTTGTAGAAAAAATGCCTTTAAAAGTAAAAAAAAAGCCTCTGATGAATGCACGGCTCAACTGGGCATGGGGGGGGGAGCAGGGATTTTTGCTACCGGTTCTCCGAACCACCTGCCGCCATCGCTACTGAATCCAGTGATCCAGTCTGAACCAGGAGCATTTCACCCCTGATCTAGACCCAATGTCTAGGAAGACAGCAGTCTTCACTGCCTTGCTAAAGGCAGCAAAGATGGAACCAATTGTACATTGGAGAGAAGACAGTTCCATTGGAAGGTGACACTCACACAAAATGCACATCACTTTAATACCATGACATGGTAACCCTTAAAAATGAGGGGACCAGCACCATGGCATCCCCATGGGAATTTATGGTGCAGGCAGATAATCTTCTGAACAGATGGTCCCAGTTATCCCAGTCCTATATCATGGATAACCAGCACCTTGAATTGCATCCTACTGGAATGCAGCTCTCGGAGCAATCATGTTACATGGGTGTAATGACCTGTGCCCATAAGTACCCAGGCTGCTGCATATGAACCCCTGGAGGCTTCTAAATGACCTTCAAGAGCAGCCCCACATAGAGAACAATGCATTAATCGAATCAGGAGGTAAATAAGGCATGAGTCCCTATGAGCAAGGTCTCCTGGTGTCATTTATTTGTAAAATTTATTACACGGTGTAACTCTTATCCAGGCGCTACTAGACCCAGATTGAATTCCTCTTCACCAAACTACTGTCATGGCCCAATTCTAGGAGCCCTATAGCTGTTGAAAAACTAAAAGTAGAAATTTCAAAGATGCTTTTTCAAGAGGCAGCTGGACTTTCTGTTTTTTCTTTGAAGACGTTTCGCTTCTCATCCAAGAAGCTTTTTCAACGCTGAAGAAGCTTCTTGAATAAGAAGCGAAACGTCTTCAAAGAAAAACCAGAACGTCCAGTTGCCTCTTGAAAAAGCATCTTTGGGACAACCATGACCTGGATGACTGAGAATCTCCATAGACATAAATGTAGAAATATGGGAGAATCCAAACTGTGATTTCCTGAAGTTTTGAAACTACATAATGACTCTTGCTAATGACTCTTCTTGATAAGTAGAACAGGTTGTGAGTGTTCATTCAGTAGGAAGCTATGAGGAACCTTTACTGTCTCAAATTTGGGACAGCCACTGATACTCAGAACAGCGGTGTCAAGCAGAGGGATAAACAGGCCAATTGCAACCCATGCATTGGGTTTAAAAGGACATATAGAGAGAGAGGCATCCTGCCCCCGAACTACACTTTCCAGCATCCCTTCTTATACGCTATACTGCTGGGGAATCTGTGGATTGTAGTTGAATCCCCAGTCCTATTCTGGGCAGTTGTGGATGTGGTAGTTGTGTCTATATGCAATGACTAATGTCTTTATGATTCCATATTGGTTACTTTCACCGGTATCCAAAAGAATCTATATTTTGTCCTTTTTATTAGAAGATGGTATTTGCTTTCCACCCAGGCAATGAATAGGAGGAGGAAGCCTTCAGGAATGTCCAACTAAAGCAAGGAAGGCACCCTCTGCCAGGCCACCCATAGACCAGCAAAGGCCTGTTCCCTGGGCTGCCCATTCTTCCTATTCCAGCTAATTCTCACGTTATAATTGCAGGAGTTCAGGGCAGTCACCTAGATGGAAAATAACCACAGCATCATCTCATATAATTTGACTTAAGTTCTTCCAATTTTACTCAAGAGGATCAGAAAACGGGGCTGGGGGTCTGATGAGCAATGAACCATTGGGGAAGACCCAAACTATTTCAGTATGTTAAGTTACTTAATTTAATGCGGTATTTCTCTCTCTCTCTCTCTTCAGTTATGGATTACCTTTCCCCCATTCCTGAGGAAAATATATGATTTTTTCTTCAAGAAAGGTATTTTATAGATGCATAAAAAGTAGGAGGGGAAACAACCAAATTCCCTTTTCTTTCCCCCCAGCCAATTCTTTTTTCTTCAGCCTTCACAAATCACCAGCTAAACTCACATATGACACAGAGTTGTAATGAGCTCTAGTTGGTTTTGCTTTAACATGCTTGCACAAAACCACACAACCATAGCTTATTCAATATAGCATTCAGTAAACTTGGCTTAATACAAGCTATGAACTAGGTCACAGAAAACTGGAGTAATTCATAACCAAAAATACCAAAAGATCCTACTCAAAGAAACAGTTGTGGAGTGAAAACTCTCAGTAAATTGTAACATTACTTTAACCATGGGTAAAGCTAAGGAAAACCCAAGATGAGGGGTCCTTGGTGCTTTGAGCTTGGTTGTTTTCTTGCAGACCTTTCATTACCCAAAATATTAATCAGAGCTAATAATCCAGCCATCCACTCTCCACTATAGAACACAGAATTCTATAGAAAGGCCTCAACTATAACAACAGGTGATGTCAATGGCCTGAATTTTTTTTGTAGCCTTAGGAGGATTTAAAACGGCTAAACTTCCCAGAGGCCCAAGAAAACTTCAGACAAACTATCATTCCACAGACAGAAGGAGATGAGAACAGGATTGACTTACAGCAGAGGATAGAGAAGCCCTCAGAAGCCTAAAAAAAGGGCCAGACCAGTGGTGAAATTCAAAAATTTTTTTACTACCAGTTCTGTGGGCGTGGTTTGGTGGGTGTGGCAGGGGAAGGATACTGCAAAATCCCCATTTCCTCCCCACTCCTGGGGGAAGGATATTGCAAAATCTCCATTCCCACCATTCTCTGGGGACAGCCAGAGGTGGTATTTGCCGGTTCTCTGAACAACTCAAAATTTCCGCTACCGGTTCTCCAGAACCTGCTGGATTTCACCCCTGGGCCAGACCATCATTATCCTACCAGCAAAGCCTGAACCACGGTTATTGTGGACAGATCATAATATCTACAAAAAAACAAAAAACAAAAAAATTAAGACTACTATCCCTGGTGCTGTTACCTAGTTTGGGTAATGAAACATCTGCAAGAAAACAACCAAGCTCAGCAACAGCAGCCTCATTTCACCCCCTGAGCTGAAAATATTCCTCTTTATTGAAAACCCAAAACCATCTCACCCTTGAACTGAAAACAAAATTGAGGCATCCTGGGGAACTTGGCAGAAAACGATGGCCAACGCATGTTTGTGTCACCATTAGGTGTAATGCGTTAGGGAAAATAACCTGAGGGCCTTTCTCTACTGCTGATACAAAGGGCTGTTGCTTGAAATGGCAAAAAAAAAATAAAAAATTAGGCAGCTATCCCTATTGCTGATCCCTATCCTGCCTCTGCCTTGACTCACTGCTGAACTGTGCCATCCTGATTTTGTCTCTGCCGTGTGATAAGCAGGAACTGGTTGATTCCGCGGGCTTTGCTCTTCTCCTCCTGCTTACGTCCGCCAATCATGGGGCTGTAGTAGAACAGGAGAAATGTGGCTGCAGGACCCTGTCATCTTCAGTCTCCCCTTCACCCCATTCTGGATAAAGCTGGCTTTAGAAAGAAAAATAGGTCGGAGTAAATAAGGCAGCTGAGTCATAGGGACGCTTATTTAGAATGCTTCCATTCACACCCAAACACACACCTTTCTTCAGATAGGCAACAAATGCCAAATTCATGGGTATTTTGGCAATCGGGGTGAGGGCCAGGAGGGTTTGGTCCTGTTCATTCCATTGTTACTATTTTAGCTATGTCCTAAAATGGTAACGGCTGTAGATTTAAAGCACTTATCACACAGCCAGCTGAACAATGTAATGCTACTAACATCATCATGTTTCTACTCCCTGGAAGTAGAATAATGGGGCAGATGAGGCTGGTCAGGGAGTGTGGGGGTGGAGGAGCTCTTCCCATTAGCCTGAAAGAGTAAAGTTTAATTCCAATCCCACCCACAGTTGTTCACGTTGGACAATGATTGGTGACAAAGCATAATAGATCATGCACAACTTCTATCTGAATAGGGGAAAATACTGTTCACCGCACAGCTAAGGATGGCCTACAGCTGTCTCACTCATGAGCCAGAGAGATTGGAAAAGTTCTAGGGGACAAAGCAGTGGTGGGATTCAAATAATTTAACAACTGGTTCTCTGCCCTAATGTGATAGACAGAGTGCTGTCTGTCACAGGACGTGTGACAGGCAGCACTCTGCCTCTTGCATCCCCCTGGGAGCAATAACGGGCCGTGGGGGGGCTGCCCCCCCATACCCCATTTTGGGCCTAGTAGGCCTCCCTGCAGCCCCCTGGGAGCCAAAATGGGCTGCAGGGGGAAGGGTGCCGCACCCTGCCCCTGCACCCTGTTTTAGGCCTAGTAGGCCTCCGTGCAGCCTCCTGGGAGCCAAAACGGGTTGCAGGGGGAGATGTGCCGCCCCCGCCCCGTTTTAGGCCTAGTAGGCCTCCCTGCAGCCTCCTGGGAGCCAAAACGGGCTGTGGAGGGACTCCTGGAAGGGGTGGGGCTGGCCAGCCAGCAATTTAACAACCGGTTTGCCCAAACCGGCCTGAACTGGCTGAATCCCACCACAGGGATAAAGCCAAGGGAAAAAAAAGATGTTTGACAATGTTGATGTTGTGGTTAGGTGCAAATGGGAAATGGCCTTAAGATTAGATTGTGAACTAATTGTTAAGATCCACTTTTTTGCCACACTGATGTGCCTTGTAGATGTTTAGACCACAATGCCCATCCTAGCCAGCTGACTGGTTAGAACAACAAAACAAGCACATGAGTGATTCAGAGAGAGTGAATAAGGAAGTATCTACATTGTACTTGCTAATTTCCCATGGTGGCTCTCATAGCCACTTTCCAGAGTCAGCAATTAACCCCATAGCTAGGGGTCATCGGTATAGGAGGTGGCTTAGCACATGATCCCGCCAGGTCCAGGGAGATCCCTTTGCTGAGCCTATGGATCAACTGTGGGTTTGTTTCACGTTCTCTTCACTGTTTTTCCAGAGAATTCTAGGAAACTCATCTTTCCTTTCTCCCTACCCCCACCCCATCTCACACTCATTGCTTCCATAATAGGTAAAATAATAGGACTAGCTCTTGACTATTGCTCGGTCAAGAATTCAATAAATTGTGGGTACAAAACAGAGTGAGCCACAACTCTATCAGGCAAGCTCCCAGAGATTCTGGGAGATGTAACTGAGCAAGGATATTGCTGAATTACGCCTCTAGCTATTCCAAAAGTGCTTTTTTTTTTCCCCAAGAGACAAGTGGACTTTCTGGTTTTCCTTTGAAGACATTTCACTTCTCATCCAAGAAGCTTCTTCAGCTCTGACTTCCACTCCCCGCTATCCTGTCAGAGCTGAAAAAGCTTCTTGGATGAGAAGCGAAACGTCTTCAAAGGAAAATCAGAAAGTCCAGTCGTCTCTTGGAGAATAAAAAAAAAAAGCACCTTTAGGACAACCATACACCTCTAGCTGTGAGATGCCTTTCATGATTTTTCTTGCCGGTTTTTGAGGTTTTTAGGCTGCTTCTCCTTGGTTTGCAGGCAGTCGACTGCTCAAAACCATGAAGATTATCTCCAGCAGCAAGAGGCTATGGAAAGAATCAGCCCTTTTCAGGAGCCAGAAAAAGTCCTCAACCCTGCGCTTCCGTTGCATTGTAGATCCTGTGAAAGTGACTGTGAAAATCGGCAACCCCCACGAGTCCAAAGCCTTCTCCACTCAGCTGGGCAGGAAAAACAAGGCCTACTATTCTGGGGAATGGTCAAGCCACCATGACACGGATGACAAGAAAGCCAGTTGGCACAAGAACGAACACCTCCAGGACAGCCAAGGAAGCTCCCACCTATCTGACCCCGAGACTCCCCAGCCGGCGTGTCCTGTGGGATCGGTTGCTTCCTGGGTCCGTTTCAGCTTCAGCTCGCCAGTACGCACCCCTGACACGGTAAACAGTTCGGCCAACTATGGCGTTTTGGCAAGGAGCCACCAAAGGGCCACGGGCGATAAGCTGCAGAGTTCAGAAGTGACAGGAGGTAGTTCCCACGGGCAACGCTTCTTGACACGCTCTGTGGGCCTAAACACAGATGGGCCTGCTCCCCACCACTTAACTCAGCCCCACGAGCCCTTTCATCATCCAAACAGTGAGACCAATTTCATCCCCAGCCCAATCTTACCTGGTCCCCGGCGGGTGCTGTATTCTACCTTTGCTCCAGATACGGCATCTAGGACCCACCTTAATGCTGAGGAATATGTCTACCCACATTCTCCCAGAGGTCATCAGCCCCGTCTTGGCCTAGAGTGGCATCAGCACTTGCCAACAGCACAGCAAGCAGAGGTCTATGTCTATCTGGTCAGTCCACCCCACCCTAGAGCAGAACACCGTCCTGAGCAACCCAACCAAGCATTCCCAACCTCTCAGGCCATCTCCAGGAAGGAAATGCTGGAGAACAGAATCTCCCTTAACCAAAGCAGGGGCGGCAGCAATCAAGGCCCTGCGGTCCAAGGGGGCAGCGATTCCAATAAGCCACGCAAAAGCATCTGGGAGAGAAAGCGCCAGAGAAGATCACTGCAGCCAACCTCAGACCATGAGAAGTTAGTAGGGAGCAACGGTGGAGTTAACGTCGGGACCCATGAGCCGTTTTCTCATAGCCCATCTCTCTTGGTTGATAGAGGGAAGGAAGGTCTTGATGCAACTCCACCCAACATTGCCAGCTGAAGATACCCAACGGTCCTTTTGGGCTCTGGAGATCAGGTGGAATTCTTGAGGAAGAAACAGCCTTTCCTGCTGCTTCCCTCAACACTTCGGCGCATATCTGGGGTCATTAAAATAAAGGCAAAGCACAAAGCATTTATGGAGTGTAATTCATAAAGCACCATATTGGTCTGGTAAACGTACAGAACCTGTCCCGTTGATAGGCTAATCCAAAATGATAGCCCAGATCCTCAGCAACTAGGTCCCAAAGGAGCTTCCCCCGCTCCCCGCCTCCCCACAGGAGGCAACTGGATTTTGTTTTTCTTTGAAGATGTTTATCATCATCTGAAGGCATCATCCATCTCCAGTCTACAACACAGTTCTTTCAACAGTTCCAAGTAGGCTCCACACCTGTTTGCACCATTCAGATGACCCTGATGACACAGATAAACCTCCAGGTGGCCTTAACAACTTGACTCGCTAAAAGAATGCAAAAATGGCCAGCTGTCTACAAGGTGTATAAATCTTTCCATTCCCCACCATCCAATCAGAGCTGAAGAAGCTTCTTGGATGAGAAGTGAAAACTCTTCAGAGAAAAACAAGAATGTCCAGTTGCCTCTTGAAAAAAAGCACCTTTGGGACAACCATGACCTGGATGACTGAGAATCTCCATAGGTCCTTTGTTGCAGAAGTTTGACGGAAAGAGAAACTTTGAAGGTTTTAAAGAAATAATAACAATCTCTCCAACTTGTAAAAACATACAGAATCCTGCTGTATTAGGCTAAAAGACAATCCAATTCAGCATTGTGTCTCACACTAGTCAACCAGATGCTTTCAGAAAGCTCACAAACATAGGCAGGAGGATTAAAAACCTCTCCTCCATGGGTGCTTCTCAGCTGCTGCTGTTCCAGGAATGCCTATTTTTAGAAGGAAAAAAATAGAATAACAGAGTTGGAAGGGACCTTCGAGGTCTTCTAGTCCAACCGCCTGCTTAGGCAGAAAATCTTACGCCACTTAGACAAATCCAACATCTTTTTAAAAACTTCACAACTTCTGGAGGCAAGTTGTTCCACTGATTAATTGTTCTAACTGTCGGGAAATTTCTCCTTAGTTCTAAGTTGCTTCTCTCCTTGACTAGCTTCCATCTATTGCTTCTTGTCCTGCCCTCAGATGCTTTGGAGAATCACTTGACTCCCTCTTCTTTGTGGCAGCCCCTGAGATATTGGAAGACTGCTATCATGTCTCCCCTAGTCCTTCTTTTCATTAAACTAGACATACCCAGTTCCTGCAGCCATTCTTCATATGTTTTAGCCTCCAGTCACCTAATCATCTTTGTTGCTCTTTTCGTGATATGAAACAGTTGTCAAGATCAGTAGCTACATGCAGCCCCATCTTGCTTTGAAATCAGCAGATTCCACTTGACCATAGAATTTTAACTTCTCTTTATTGATCCTACAACTGTCCACACCATCAACTAACCCTAACTTCTAACTTTGGGGAGGGGAGGGGAAGGACTCTATCCATGTTTTCCATAGCACAGGCTATTTTGTCCTATCTGATGCAGAGCTTCTCACATCACCAAATATAGGTGCTTTCTGATGGATATCACTCATTGCTGGCATGCATAGAACCAGTACAACTGAAGCTTTTATTTTCTACCAGAATGAGAAAAGGGAGTTCTATACAGTAGTCTTGGTTTAGTTTTTGAATGTAGCAAAATACAGGTAGTCCTTGACTTATGACCACAATTGAGCCCAGAATTTATGTTGGTAAGTGAGTTTTGCTCCATTTTCTTGCCACGTTTGTTAAGTGAAATCACTACAGTTATTAAATTAGTAATATGGTTATTAAGTGAATCTGGCTTCCCCGTTGACTTTGCTTTGTCAGAAGGTTGCAAAAGGGAATCATATGTTACTGCAACCATCAATACGAGTCAGTTGTCAAGCATCCAAGTGTAAATCACATGACCATGGGGATGCTGCAGTGGTCATAAGTGTGAAAAATAGTCATGTCACTTTTTTTCAGTGCCATTGTAACTTCAAACACTCACTAAATGAACTGTCATAAGTCGAGGACTACCTGTAACACACATTTCTGTTTAAAGATCTGCATGGAGTCTCGATTGCCAGATTTCCTAACTGAGCCATATATTCAGCTGTCAGAAATTGGCAGTTGTAAAATGAGGTTGGGGGATGAAGCCAAGGAGATTCTCAGCTGGATACTCCTAAGTTAAAATTGTTTCTTCCTAGTGGAACTGGTGAAATCACCTGCTTCCCTCACATTAAGAAGGCCAGCAAGCAACAAAACCACGGGGCTCTTTGATTTTCAAATGAAGACATCTCAAATTGCAGGAACCATTATGGGTCCTCTGTGAAATGGCCCTTGGTGGCACATTCCAAATCAGATAATAACAGACATGAGATACAGAATTCAGAAGTTCTGATTTGTCATAATGCTACCCCTACATATTCCCATACCCAAAAGTCTATACCTGTGATGGCGAACCTATGGCACAGGTGCCAGAGGTGGCATGCAGCGCCCTCTCTGATGGCACGTGACCATCGCTCCAGTTCAGCTGTGTGTGCCCCTCCCGCCAGCATGCTGGTCTTTAAGTCTCTGCCGTGCATTCCACAGGGGGGGTGCATGCAGGGGGGCCATGCGCACATGCGTGGGGGGGCACATGCATTGGGCCGCACACACATGCGCAGGGGGGGCTAGGGTATATGTGCAGGGGTCGTGCACACATTGCATTTTGGGGGTTCGGGCGTGTGCACATTTATGCGTGTGTGTGCACACTGGGCACTCGGTCCGGAAAAAAGTTAGCCATCACTGGTCTATACTCATATTCTACTACACCTGCTCATCTGTCTTAATTCTAGGTAAGTAAACATACCCAACTAAAGCAGTAGATTGCATCCATCCATCTTTTTTATTTATTCAGAAAGCTTATAAAATTCACCTTTTCATATACAGGTAGTCCTCGACTTACGACCACAATGAAGCCCCAAATTTTTGTTGCTAAGTGAGACATTCGTTAAATGAATTTTGCCCCATTTTACGAACTTTCTTGTCGCAGTTGCTACGTGAAACTGGCTTCCCGTTTGACTTTGCTCGTCAGAAGGTCACAAAAGGGGAATCACAGCATCTTGGCACACTGCAACCATCGTAAATATGAGTCAATTGCCAAGGGTCTGAATTTTGATCACGAGACTATAGGGATACTGCAAAAGTCGTAAGTGTGAAAAAATGGTCCTAAGTCACTTTTTTCAGTGTTGTTGTAACTTCGAACAGTCACTAAATGAATTGTTGTAAGTCGAGGACCACCTATACAATTCAAGGTGGTGAATATACCTAATACTTCTTCCTCTCCTGTTTCCCCACAGCAATCATGTGAGATAAATTAGGCTGGGAGAATGACTGGCTCAAAGTCACCCAGATGGTTTTTCATGCTAGGCTGGGATCTTAAACCACTATACCAAACCGACTCTCGTTTTGCAGCATGCCAGCTTGTCAATTTGTTAATTAAAGTAATTTAAAGAACTAAAAAAACAGCAAAGGAGGGGGGGTCCCAGGGAGATACTGGGATACCACTCATAACCAGTCAGTTCTTCCGTATGTTCAGTACGGTTTATTTTTCCTAATGTCTTCCCTCCATCTTTAGAGGACTTCTGCAAAAATAGAATAGAATAACAAAAGTTGGAAAGGACCTTGGAGGTCTTCTAGTCCAACCCCCTGCTTAGGCAGGAAACCCTATACCACTTCAGACAAATGGTTATCCAACCTCTTCTTAAAAACTTCCAGTGTTGGAGCATTCACAACTTCTGGAGGCAAGTTGTTCTTCTGATTAATTGTTCTAACTGTCAGGAAATTTCTCCTTAGTTCTAAGTTGCTTCTCTCCTTGTTTAGTTTCCACCCATTGCTTCTTGTTCTACCCTCAGGTGCTTTGGAGAATAGCTTGACTCCCCCTTCTCTGTGGCAGCCCCTGAGATATTAGAACACTGCTATCATGTCTCCCCTAGTCCTTATCTTCATTAAACTAGAGATACCCAGTTCCTGCAACCGTTCTTCATATGTTTTAGCCTCCAGTCCCCTAATCATCTTAGTTGCTCTTCTTTGGACTCTTTCTAGAGTCTCCACATCTTTTTTACATCATGGCAACCAAAACTGAATGCAGTATTCCAAGTGTGGCCTTACCATCTACAAGGAAATTTCACATGTTCACAGCCCCAAATTCTAACACTAGATCTCTTTCCTAAAAAGGAATGTAAGACCATAATGATGTAATAATCCCAGGGGCAGCAGTTATGAACTCCACGATGAGATTTAGTAGGAAGAACATGAGATCTAGATGGATGCTAGTCTCCAGGCTATGAGGCATCTTGAAAAAAGGTACTCTAAATCCTTTTCAGTTTGAAGCAGCAGCCATGCTGTATCCAAGGGATTTTTCTTTTTGTCTCTGCTTTTCTGATCGCCTTGAATGCACTATGCCCTTTGAAATCGCAATGCTGCTGCTATAAATAATGATGGGGGGAAAAATCTGGTTTGTGAACAAGAAAGAGAAAAAAAAAGCATTAAAGAGATCTTAACTTGATTCAGCTATGCTTCTTCTGAAGAAACTGGTTTCTTCATCCAAACACAGTCATTTCAGGCTATAAATCCCAGGAAGGTAGATTTAAATGAAAAATTATAAAGATTTGCAGCCATGAATGTAAGTACATTATAAGCACTCTTTTCTGCTGAACACAAAGTCCTAGATTTCTGCCACACAAACCGTGCATTATGCAGATGTGTAAAACTAAGAACTACAGTAATTTGACATGGTTTTTAGCCTGTCTCAAAAGTCTTTGGCAAGCAAACTATTTAGATCTCCAATTAAACATTGTAATCTGTCCTTCCCATAGCAGAGGAAAAAATAACGCCTATGACCTCTCCATGTTGGGATCTTGGCAAAATAGAGAAATTGTTATTTTCTTCTAAGATGTTCCCCCATCCACCCAGGTCAGGGGCGGGTTTCAAAATGGGTTTGCTCGTGGGCGCGCTTGCAGGACACTTCTGCGCATGTGCAAAAGTGCCCGGGTATGCCTGCAGAGCCTCCCGCCACTGCTGCTACCGGTTCACCCGATCCAAGGCGAACCGGTAGCAACCCACCACTGACC